AGTCTGCCTCAGCCCCTGCCAGCTCTAGCCCTGCAGTGGCCGTCTGCCCGGCCTGAGCCCGTCTGCCCGCCATATGCACAGTCCCACAAGGAAACACAAGCCAGTGACATCACGCAGGTACAGCTGAGGAGGCTCCTGCCACAGTCTCAGGAGAACTGGGGTCAACCCTGCCATGCTGCAAACGATACTCTCACCATTTTAGAGCCCCAAATACCCTGGGACAGATTTAGGTAGCAGGGAAAAATAAAAGGAACACAGAGGGCCCCCACCTTTCAGCAGGGGGGATGGATTTTTATCTTCCAAAGTTGAGATAAGGTCTTGCTAAGCTGCTAAATTACCCAGGCCAGGCCTGAACTTGAGATCCTACCGCCTCAGCTTCCCCAAGTGACAGGCATCAAGCATGAACCACCATGCCTAGCTGATTTCCCCAAGTTTTGAGATGGGAAAGTGGACAAGGTGAACCAGAACTGGCAAAGATGGCAGGTGTGGGTGGAACCCTAAAGCTGGAATGTCAATGATCGCACAATATCCAAGGCTCCTAGACCAGCAAGATCTGACCTGCCCCCGGCCAGGATGACTGAACGTGTGCACACATTTCTCTTGCAGTCATGTGAAGAACGTGGACAAGCAACCCAGGAGGAAGCACCAAAGTCTGCATGAAAAACAAGAGCACAGAATCCCCTTACCCTTGGGGATCAGATCTGTGCTCCCCAGTGGACGCCTCGCCCTCAGTACTGACCCTGCAGCTACTGCTTCTTCCTGCACATCTATGACGCACTTGCACTCTTCACTGAGAGCCAGTGCTTTGCCACCTGTCTTGACACCCAAATCTCCAGCACTGTTACCTGGTGCTCTGGGGCCACCGGAAGCGCTAGCACTGTGCACAGCTACAGATCTGATAACCCAGCCAGCTACGGAGTGATTGGGGGGTGGGGCACAGAGCACATGGCAAGGATCTGAGGGACAAAGGGACGTTTCCTGCCTGCCTGAGACAGAGCAGAGTTCATCACACTATTCTGAATGGAGCAGTTTAAAGCCTGAGAACTGCTCACTGCTAGAATTTTCCATTTAATATTTACAGAGCCTATTTGGCTGCTGGCAACTGAAATCACACAGTGAAACTAAGGAGAGAGAAAAGGGGACTATGAAACCTCTAACACAGACCCAGGAACCTCCGAACTTAGAAGGCGGCCAGCATCACACAGCAACCAGAGCTGAGTCAGGGCTGAGAGTCATCTAGCAAAATGAACCAGAGCTGTGCTGAAGGGTCGAGGTTAAAAGGGGTCTTAGACTCCACTCAGTACACTATTTTATGTAATGTACTGCTAACTTTTGCCAAATTTCACAAGCAACTTTCATTTCTGATCTGCACACTGGAGAAATCGCAGCAAGACCCCTTCCCCCAACCCCAGCCCCGAGATGCCTCTTGTATATGCGACTCCAGCAGTTGTTTGAAAACACCAGCTCTGAAGAGCACAGATTAGACTGGTGGCTGTTTTTGTCAAACCTAGAAAATGAACTGATTCCCTCTTTCCTAAAACACTTCTATTCCTTCTATTCGAGAAGAAAGGTCACAGTGCTGGTGAAGGTCACATAATGTATTTCAAAGAGAGCTCATTCATTTGCTGGGTGGAGTACTCGGAGCAGGGCAAAAAATAAAACACACACACACACACACACACACACACACACACACACACACACACACACACACCATGGGCGGAACACAGCCTGGGAACCAGCACTGGCCAGCACAGTGAAACCCGGGCGGGGGAGGGACATGGCCATGGGGCTAGGGCTCCTGGAAAGGTCCTGCAGGTGACAGCCATGCTGGGAGCAGCCAGGGAGCTGCTGCTCCAGGGAGGGGCTGACCAGGACCTCCCCCAGCCTCAGGACTCGGTGGCCAATGGGGACAGGCGAGGCAAAGGCACACCAAATTAGGCAAGTGGCAGAGCTGGCCCTGAGCCCTCCAGGCAGCCAGCCCTCCCCCAGAGGAAGGGCAGGGCAGGGCATGTTTGTAAACATGTCAGCCCCACCCTGTGAAGAAACTCAAACTGAAAAGTGCCTTGGCCAGAAAAACCTCAGGGCTGTGAGGTTTCTAAACACTCAATTGAATTCCGCAGGCCTAAGATAAACGATGTCAACTGACGGCCTCCTCCTCGCTGTGACTCTGCATTAAAGGCCCAGACCCAAGAGGCAGGCCCAAGCCACTAACTACCAGGTGACCAGGAACCGGGACCCCACGTGGGGCACTTAAAAAGAAGGACCAGGCAGTGAGCACCATGAGGGGGACTCAGGGGCCAGCCCCCAGCTCCAGCAGGAAAAGCAGGACCCTGGACCCTGGTGTCAGTAAGGAGTACTTCGGGCCTCTGCAACCCTGTCCCCTCCGACAGAGGCGCCCTTCACCCCATAGCTCAGCTACAACACCTTCTTCACCAGCAGCTATTTTTCTTTGGGCTATGACTGGGAAACATTCCTATTTTCCTAAAGACTCCATGTCTAGGCCCAGACACCCAGCCCCTCAGTGGCGCCTGGGCTGGCTCCTGCTGGGCATGGAAGGTCTTTGCTGCTTGGGATACCGCAGAAACAGGCGGCAGCCAGCCCAGCTCCTGGCAGCTCGAGACAGGGCTTGGCTTTCACTCCAACAGCTGCTTTCAGGGGACAGGGGATGAAGCCTTAAGGACACATGCGACTTGCGGGCTTTACTGTGATACAGGTCGCGCACAACATGCGTCACCCACAGAGCACGTGCACCTCAGTGGTGCTCTTGTACTTGCTAAGTGTGTTACCATCACCACTGTCTGACAACAGAACATCTTCACTACCCCACAAGGAGTCCCCCACCCCACAGCCGAGAACAGCCACTGCCTTTACCCTCTCGTCCCCGGACATGAACCTGGCTCCTGTCTGTGGCTGCCCGGCCCCAGATGCTGCTGCCGAAAGGGTCACACACTGCATGGCCTCCACATCAGCTCCTCTAACAGGCATTGCATTTTCCTCGCCCAGCCACGGGTGTGTGTGTGTGTGTGTGTGTGTGTGTGTATGTGTGTGTGCACACGCGTGAGTCCCTGACAGCTTTCTGTGGCAAGTGACCTCCTGTCCTATGCATTGGCCACACCTCCACCCCTCATGGCTGACACGTCTGCAATGTCTCTGCTTTGGGGATATACAGATGGTGCTGCCATGAACATGTGGGCTGTTTGTGTGGACAGATGACAGCGAATTGCAGGATCCCAGGAGGATCCTCATCTTCTCTTCCTGGGTTAAATCATCTTCCCATTGGCTGCCTCGCTGTACCACATGGCGTTTTCTTAGCTGTGTGTGAATTATACTGCAGAAGTGAACACAGGAGTGTCACCAGGCACTGCCACACAGTGAGCTGGGGTGGGGCAGTGGGGTCATACCCATGCCAGAGGTCTGGAAGACACCACACCTGCTCACACAGAACTTGGGTTTTAGGACAGGGCTACTCCAGGAATCTGAGTGAGGTTTAGGAAACCAGACTCTCATAAAGCTGTGAAGACTAAGAAATAAGGAAGGAATTGGGCATGATGGCACATGCCCATAATCTCAGCATTCTGGGAGGCTGAGGGAGGAGGATCTCAAGTTTCAGCCCAGCCTGGGCAACTTAATGACTTAGCAAGACCCTGTTTCAAAATAAAAAGGGCTTAGGATGTAGCTCAGAGTGAAGGACCTGGGTTTAATTCCCAGTAATGAGGGAAGGAGGGAGGGACAGAGGGATAGAGGGAAGGAGAACTGGAGGGAAGGAAGGAACTCACTAATTTAGGGGCAGTGCTTTGCAGGGGACCAGCATGTGTCCGATGCTCCATGAGTTACTCCTTTCCTGACCATCGCCGAGACCTGTGAGGTTAGTGGTGGCTTCATGGATAGGGAAGATGACGTGTAGGAGTGCCCTGCCCCAGCCCAAAAGATAGAACCAACGACACATGGCCAGGGTCACACTGGCCCAGAACTGAGTTCTGGCTGGGCTGTTTCCCAGGCTGCCCCTGAGACAGCACTGACCTCTTATTGTCTCTGGCGAGAGGAAGCCAGCTCCTTACAGCTCAAACACAGCCACCTACCCACATACACAGGTGCATGCAGGAAAACCTAAGCCAGTGTGACACTGAGCACAGCCAAACTGGGGATGGGAGCCACCCCTGTGGCAACACACAAGGGTGAAACCACAGTATGATTCCATGCACAAAGCTTGAGAAGAGTCACCTTGGGGACCATTCAGTGTGCCAGCCATAGGAGGGACTCATCTTTGGGGTTAGAGGAAAGCACCACCCTGTCTCTGCTGCAGAGCAGTTCTCAGAGCCTAGTGTGAGGCACCCCTGGAAGCCTGAGACCCCTCAGTGGAATGTCAGGCTCAAGCCACCATCACAACAGTACCAGACACGGCCTCCATCCCTTCGCTGTATCCTTGACAATGCACAAGAGGTGGTAGAAGCAGCAGAGGCCATGGGAGGAGCTGTGGCCTCACACCCAAACACATGAGGACCATCTTCTGGGACATATAGGTGCATGTGTGAGAGAAAAGCCCATTTCATTTAAAAGTGACTGCAAAGACCAAGAGTGGTGGCACACATCTGTAATCCTTCCTCTGGGAGGCTGAGGCAGGAGAATCATAAGCTTGATCCAAGCCTGGGAAACTTAGCAACTTAGAGACTCTGCCTCAAAGTTTTAAAAAAGTGCCTGGGGATGTAGCTAAGTGCTAGGGCCCTGGATTCAATCCCCAGGATCTTTAAAAAAAAAAAAAAGAAAAGAAAAGAAAAGAAGAAAAACAAGTTCATCAGATCCTAGTATGTAAACATTACTTTAAAATGTTTTTAAGGTGTGTGTGTGTGTGTGTGTGTGTGTGTGTGTGATATTCCTGTGCTGGTGTTAACAGGCTCTGTATCTAAAACTTCCGCCTGGCCAGGTGGGGAAGCAGTGATGAATATTCGAGTACACAGGGTGAATCCACCAGGGTCCTGGCTCGGCAGGCAGCTGCTCACCTGATGGTACCAGTTGGGGAGGGGATGGGGCTGACCAGGCTCCGGAGATCCGGCTCCGGAATGTGGATCTTCAGCGGGGAGATCTGGGGGTAGAGTGGCCGGAGAGGAGATGCTGGAGCCTCTTCTTTATGGTACAGGGATGTGAACTGGATCTTGATGGCTGTGCTGGGGAACCGGAAGGTACACCTGCAGAGGGAGGACAGAAGGTCAGGTGCAGGGAAGTGGGGAGGGACACAGGGTTCCCAGCAGGAGAGCCCCGGTCAGCAGGGACAAGACCTGCAGCTCACTGTGGCTCATGTGGGGCTGAGCCTCAGCCATTCCATACCTCTGCTAAGTCGCTTCCCATACAGCTTCTCTACACTCTGTGTGAGGTGCAGAAGAGGGATAAACACCCAGGCACAGTGTGGTCCGTCTCCCTTCCACTCCTGGACAGGGATGCCCCCTTGCTGTCCACAGGGCAGCTGCTGTGACAACCCGGCCAAGGCTATAAATGGGCACGGTATTTATGGAGAGATGCTAAAGACAGATTCCCTCCCACTACATGGACAGTGAAAGCAAATGCTACGCAACATAGGTAGTGATGTTACCTGAAAACACACATCAGGAAGGAGTCCTAGAGAGCAGTCACGAACCCAGAGCTTAACATCAGTTTCCCAGTTAGCTCTAAGCTTAAAGACCCTGAGCCTGCTTTTCCTACTGGACATGGCCATGTGCTGACGGGTCCAACCCTGCAGCTGTGGAAGCATGCAACACCAAGGCCGCATGGGGGACTCAGGATGGCAGATGCTGTTCAAGGCTCCATCTCTGAGACCGGTCTATTGTGTACACCACCTCATTTCCACACCGAGAAGTCACAAATCAACAACTTGCTAACTGCACATCAGGAAAAGAGCAAAACAAAAATGAAACAAATCAAAGCAGGCTGCCCAGAGTCGGACAATCCAGGCTGCCCATGACCACTGTTTGTGTGGAAAGCAGGCAGGGCGTGTAGGAAAGAAGCCCAGACACCCAGCGATGACACACGACACACTTCCGGCTCTTCAGAGAGCCCCGCACTTGAGGGACACTCAGCCTTTGTGACACAGCTGCCGGGACCTGGAGACAGCAGTGTCTGCTCCCGATTGCCTTCCGCCCTGCAGCAGTGTGGACAGCAGCGGTACCTCAAACCTTGCAGACTCAGATGTGAGCAAAATGCTCCTGTCATTCCCAGAGCATCCTGCTCTTACAAGTCAGTTTTTTTTTTTTTTTTTGGTACCGGGGATTGAACTCGGGACCTTGCGCTTGCAAGGCAGGCAGCAGCACCACTGAGCTAAATCTCTGGCCCACAAGTCAGTTTTTTAAAAAATAAGACTTAAGAAAAAGTCAAAGCTGGGACCTGTGATACACAATGGTGATTTGGTGCAAACTGATGATGCACTCGGGGAGGTTGAGGCAGAAGGGTCAAAGATTTGATCCCAGCCTGGGCAACTTAGTGACTTATTGAGACTATGTCTTGAAATAGGGGGGTGGACATCCCAGCAGCTGACTGTGACCCAGCTGGAGGTTACGGTCCTGTGCACACAATCGGAGCAAAGGGCGGCAGGTACTGCTTTGGGGTGAAGGGCATCATGGGAAGAGTGACCTGGCATTCCACCGCTGGGGACAGTGGGGTCTGAAGTGTGGCATCAACATCACTTCTAGGGCTCTGCTTGTGGTAGCCTGAAGCTCTTTCACCCATTTACCATTTAGAGAAGAAAAGTACACCCTGCTGCTAGCATGCACTTGATTTCACATAAACAGACTCTCTGGAGCTGAAGCAAATCTGACTGATTTTCAATGTGGAAATAAAATATAAAAATTCTTCTTGGAGTTGTTTCTTGATAGAACTTCTCTCGATTCTAATGTAATAATGATACTAAAATAATAAAAGTGAGCTATTTTGTGGCAAGCTTTGCAGGGAGTGTCTAGAAGTGGAAATGGGTTCAGGCAGGCTTTGAGCTCTGCTTCTAAACCCAATCTAAAGGGGCGCTCCTTGGTCTCCCTGCAGCCCGATGGAAGTTTCCTCCCCTGGTATTCTGGCTGCAAAGGCCCCACACTGGTGGCCCTAAGGTGCTCTCTGAAGCCCGCTGATGTCATCCTTGATGGCTTTCAGCTTCTGCAAGTCACAGAGCCACATCCACCCACACTGGTGTTTGAGCATGGGCTGGGCATCCCCAAGCTAGAGGAGGGAAAGTGCTTTGGAGTCAGGAGGGCAGCTGGGTATTTGGGCAGGTGAGCCATGCTGGCCAGGTGAGGTCCACCTGTGAACGGCGGCACCAAAGGTAGAGAAGGGGGTGTGGACACACTCTGTGATAATACTGTCAGACAGTAAGGATGGCGACAAGGAGATAGTTTTTGGGTGCACTACCATGCATGCCTTCCACCCACTCCATCACAACGGGTGACTGGCTGGGGTGCTCACACGGTCAGGGCTCTGGGTCCTGTGCAGGGAAGCCGTGTCCACATGAGACCCTGATACAACAGCCCCATCATGGCCAGCTAGAAAGAAGACGTGGCTTCTAGCCCATGTCCAAGGTCACAGGCAGACGTGGGTCTGAGAAAAGTGTCTGGCTGGGCATGAAGACCAGAAGAGGGCCATGGCCCTGGGCCATCTGCTCTCCAGGCCCAAGTCTCTCTGGGGTGACCTGGGGACCACTACAGGAGAGCAGACAGAACCCTGCCCCAATCTTGTTCTCCTCATCATCAGAATGGGAGGCGTGGAGGTCATTTCTACGGAGATTTCCAGGTTAAAACCCAAGATTCTAGATAATATTTGCAGGTGGACTGAGCATTCAGGAAAATACCACCGCTTTTCCTAAGAGGATGCTGGCACGCCCCAGGGGATGTGATCAGGGCAGCCTCCTGTGCTGGAGCTCTCCGAACTCCCATCAGGAGGAGCAAGAGGAGGGGCCAGGACACAGGACACAGGACACCCAGGACCTACTGGATGCGCCCAGTGTCTACCACTCACACCTCTCCCTGAAAGGCTTGCATTTGGGCATGAGCCCTCTCTGGAGATATTTTTCTTTTCAGTATCAGAACTGAACTCTGGGCCTTTGCATGGAGATACATCCCCAGCCCTTTACCAGTTTTTAAATTTTGAGACAGGGTTTCATTAAGCGGTGGAGTGCCCAGGCTAGGCTGGAACTTTGACCCTCCTGCCTCCGCCTCCCAGGGCGCTGGGACTGCAGGCCTGTGCCCTGTGCCCAGTTCTCCCAGCTGCCGCATGTCTTTTGACCTCAGGGAAGCATCAACCTGGCCCAGTGCTGCGTGGGGTGCAGCTCCAGGGGCACATGGCAGACAAGAGAGGAATGACCAGTCAGGCTCCCAGCAAGCAGCCAGCAGTCAGAGCACCAGCAGGGCCTCATGCGTGGCTAGGGGCTTTCCTGTGGGGCACGGGACCACTTAGATGGCAGGGGCTCTCCACTGTGGGGATACTATGCAAAAACAGGACTCCAGAAAACAGCTTTGCATGATGCTTTTACAAATAAAACCCCAAAACAAAGAGCTATGACAATCTTAGACTGTGTTTAACCCCAAAGATCTTCTGTTAAACATCTACTGTGTCCTGCCAGAACACCCCTGAATGAGCCCAGGCGGCTTTGGGCACGGGCTGCAGTGCTGAGCAGCAGTGTGGGAGGGCCACACGCACAAGCCACAAGGGGAGGGTGCGCAGAGGGTCATTTGGGAGGAGCATGGAGGTGGGGGGCCAGGGCCTCCAAAGGCAGTTACCTACCTGATCACTGCTCCTGGCCAGGCTGCCAGCTTTTCGAGGCCAAGACACCAACAAAATGACGTCACCTCCTGCTCAGGAAAAGGACAGCCATTGCAGGGGGAAGATACTGGGGATTACAGGAGCACGTGCCCCGGTGCACAGCCAGCCCCGTACACGCCATCCCGCCCTCTTGGGAGGAATTCCGGTGTGTGCTTCGGAGTCCAGTCATGGGTGCTCAAGGGAAACTCCTACAGCACTACAGGGGGCAGGGAGGGGGGCTGCGATAACTTCGCAGGGTTCACTCAGAGGCCGGGAAAGCCAGGTGACTGGGATTCAGCCAAACAGGCGGGCCTGCGAGTCTGTACTGGAAGCTGGTGCTGGAGCCGCAGAACCTTGCAGAACCCTGGCAGATCCATGCAGGTGCCAACAGGCATACCTGGTTGCCCACTGGACCTGGGAGAAAGCCCAGCCTGCCTCTGAAGGATGCTCCTAGGTCAAGGAGACAGCAGGAAGTGACCCTCCCCCACTCACCTTGAGGCTGGGAGAAGGGAAGGCCCTTGTGGGGACCTGGACCAGGACCCAGGGCACCCTAGCAAAGGAGGAGCAACATGGGGAGGCAGAGGGGGAAGGGTTTCCCTCCTAGGGACAGTCTGGTCCTTTTGCGGAGATTCATCAGATTCAAAACAAAGAAGCACAGTCACCTCACAGGCAGAGAGCGAGGGGCTTCCTCTCAGGCCGCCTTGCTCTCCCGTTCTGCGAGCTCCCTCAACAGCAGGAGGGCTTGGTGTTTCCTTGCCTGGAGACTGTGTTTCCCCGAAGCCCTTCAGTGGGTGACAGATGGCCCCCAACACCCCTGACTGAGACGGCAGCCACACTACGCAGTGCCACGAGGAGTGGGACTCTGTCTCTGGGACACTGCTGGAGGGGGTTAAATCCCACGGTCTCTCTGCAATTTCCTTAAAAATAAAATGTATACTGAGGCTCTGGCTAGGGAGTGGCACGCCAGCACGTTCATCCTGGGGAAGGGAGGCCTGGGTCTGCTCCAGGCCTGCATGGGGCTGTCCACCGAGGCTTCCCATGTGACTCATCAGAGCCTGAGCTGGGAAGTCTAACAGGTGAGATTCTGTGTCCCTGGTGGCACGCTGCTTGGGTATGAAAAGGAGGCACTTTTCAAGCTCCAGCCCTGGCAGGGAGGCCGTGCCAAGCTGGGGAAGGTAGTGTGACTCTACCCTCAGCACCTCCAGATAACCTCACCACCACGGGGAGGGGAGCCTGGGGTGACCACGATTAGGACAGCACTGGGGTAGTTGTGACCCCCTTCACAGTGGGTGGCTCTCTGCGCTGGCTGAGGTGGCCACAGCCAGGCTCACACTTGGGCAGTCGACAGAACACTGTACACAGCTCAAGGTCACTGTCCTGGGTCCAGGAGAAAAGGGGGAGACACAGACAAGGA